ATTCTAGTCTGGGTTCTTACACTTCCATCATAAAGTTATCCTTTTTCTAGTAGCCCAGGAATCTGATCCTTTAAAATTGGGTAGTGTCTAAATGTACCAGAGAAATCTATTTTGTTCCTGACTAGCTCTCTAATCAAAACTACTGGCCTTTCAATAAATGACCTGCACCAAGAGAGAAATGTTCATAGTATTTACTATGAAATTCACAAAACCCTATATCTATCTTTAGGCCAAAAGTCACTGAACCAACAGGTATCAAGAATTATAAAGCAACACACAACTATAAGAAATGTAGGATGCTGCTTACTTCCAATTCAATGCACAGAGAAAGGAACACTAAACATACAAAGATGACATTATATAGTGGCTTTCCTAGGTATTATTCTGAAAATACATTTTCTTTGTTCTTTCCCTCCTTATCCTCTGCCTTTTTATTGGACTGAGTGTTTTTGAAGGTGTTTGGCATTTTAGAAACAGAAGCTACTCAAAATTCCTGTAGGAAAGCTGAGAAAGTGCTCAGTCTCTGTGCATGCTCCTTGGATCCCTTTCTCCAGCTGGCACAGAGAGCTTTTTCTTGCACTTTTCAAAAAGCTTTCAAGGTACTGCAAGCTACTTGGCAACATTACACCTCCACCAGTTGGAAAGCATTTTGCTTATTTTTTCCATGTTTGGTAGCCTCCCAGCAATAGAATCAGTCTATTTGCAGAAATGCAGATGAAGACCAGTAATTGGCATCCCAGAATGCCAGCTACCTCAGCCAGAGTGCTTGAATGGTATAGGATTGATGTACATAAGTTTGCCCATCAAGAATCTGTTCAGTTATACAGAAACAAGGACAATGGTGACAACATTGATGGGTGATCACTAAGCTCCACATAACATTGCTAGTCTTACAGAAACCAAGATACAGTTAAAGAACTGGGAATAGCAGTCAGATTCCCCACTTACAAAAGCAGACATAATAAGTTATTTTAAACTCACTGCTTCCACTTATATTACAGATGTTCTTTAAAAAAAAGAGAGAAGAAGGAATTAGAATGTGTGTCCTTCGAAGGTGGGAGTAGTGATACTCAACAAATACATGTAACCTTAAGAGATTTCCCTTGCTTAGATTAATTCATAGCTACAGGCTGTTATAGTAAGAGATGATTGGTCAGATGGCAGATTTTCTTGCTCAGAGATTTCTGCCGTCAGGAACTGGGCCTGGCATCGAAGCATTTTGATTTATTTTGTGCAAAGAAGGATCAGCTTGAAACAGATTATTCATGGATGGTGCTTATATATTAGATGCATATAAATAGCAAGGTAGATCTCTGTATTCCCAAAGTGGATATTCAGAAAGTAGAATCAGCCTGACCACTCACTCAACTAACAGATGCTAAGTGGCTGAACAGCTTTCTAGTGACAAAGTACCTGCGACTGCCTTTGAACCAAGCAGAATTTGTAGTTTGTAGAATCTAGTGAGCTTGGGAAGGGGGTAAAGAGTCAAATTTCATCAGCCCTAGTTAAAAATATTTTCTGTATGAAGAAGCAAAAGTATACAGGGGAAGGAGAGGAAAATTAGGAGGACATGGTTAGCAGGTTATAAAAAAAACAGATTAATACTCTTCCTCAGTTGTCTTCTCAAAAACTCCACTGTAAATTAGAGCTTAATTAGTCTAAAGCCACACTTCTTAAAATTTTTAAAGTTTAAAGGAGCTTGCTCACTTTGCAAGCACTTTGACTAAGATCAATATAGAGAACAGTGTAATTAAAGATTACACTTTTCCAGGTGGCCTAGATCCCGAAAATGCAGTCCTGAAGGACTTCTTGCTCAGATATTCCTACCTCTGTCAAGATATGCCACACTTTCCACAAAATAATTAACATTTTGGAACTATTCCTTAAATTATTGTTACTGGAACAGTATTTTTTTTTCTGCTGGTAATTTTCTTTTTAAACATATGGGACCAGGAATGATTAGATAGTGTTACCATTTTGCCATTTCTAAACCCCAAATGGTACAGCAATTTCTTGTGATCATTCTTAGTAATCTTCATTTGAGCTACGGAATACACTTTTGCCTTTCATCTTCCACATTTAACTCCATAAAAGTACAGCTAAAACTTCCTGTGCACATTAAACTGTCTGCTCTTAAAATTCCCTGTGTCAGTGAACAAGCTCTTTCAGATGACTTTTATCTGTTTCTCATAATAAAAGGGTCAAGATTAGGATTGAAAACATCTCCTGAAGGATTTTAAGTATTATACAGTGGTGGTTCATTTTAACTATTTTTCACTGATACAGGTAAACAGAAGTTGTAAGCAGCTCCTGCGTTACTAAGACTCTAGGATCTGAAACTAATTTGTTCTCTGCGTTTTCTTTCAGTGTTTGAATCCAGTGGTATAGTTTAGGTGGGGCGTGGGTACACCTGGACTCCTAGGCCTTGTTCATAGACGCATCACAATCTTCTTGTGCAATGTGTTAGGAAAGTCACTTAAACATCACTTGTTGGATAATACCATCACTAGCAAGTGTGCAATGATCCCATTGCTGGGACACCATTTACTTCACTTGTATCAATCTGCAGGAAGTTACAATAATTTCTGTCAAGTACTGATTTGTAATAAACTTGGTTTTGTCTGATTTTAATTTAGTAGTTAAATCCTGTTAATTCTTATAAAACAGGGGTTCTTCTTTAGATGTCAAACTAAACTCAATTTCTGATTGTTCTCCGAGAGAAATCTCTTAGGTCTCTTTTAACAAGAGGAGAAAGTTTAAATCCTTCCTTTTAACAAGAGAAAAGTGTTTTAACAAAGTTGCTTAAACTTTGACAGTACAAAAGAAAGCCAGCTGAGCTTCCTCAGTTTGACTGATTTTTCTGTACAGCTTTTGCTAGTTTATGAAGTTAGACCCTTTCAAATTGAGACTGCTTTGATGTAAGTCAGGGCATAATTCCAGCACACCCAAATCTTAACATTGATAGAAGTACACATTTGCAAATTATCATAGTGAAAGCCAGCATTAACTTTTTATTTTACCTATCTTATTCCTGAGTAAGCACAGGGCAAATTTACTACAACTATCACACTTGCTGCTGCCTTTGCAGAAATTAAATTCAATTGCGTTCTTATTTCCATGTAGTTTCTGATATTTGAAAGGAAGCATACCCAAACTCCCTAGTAGGGAGCAGAGTCAAATAAAGGCATGTGACAGGAAAAATCAAGCAGACACAGTTAAAGAACCCTGGATGTACATAAGTAGTACACATTAGACAGTTCCATGTCAAATCCATCCTGCATAACAAATTATAATCAATTAGCATAACGTGGGAAACTGTCAGGCTTTTTTGAGACAGGAGAAAAATTAAAGACACTAAGATGCAGAGCCATACACTTATGTTAAGTGTAGAAGACCTGTGAACTGGTGGAAACAAAAGTATTCTATCTTACATGGCTACCTAAAAATGTGCTATCCATAAGTAAAGTGCACAAACTATAAAATCAAAAGCATTTTTGAGATTTTACAATCTATGCCACAAAACATCAAATATCTAGAGAAATATATAATAGTTTAAAACTTCAGTCGTAATATCAAGACTTATTTTAATATCAAGAACTTTTAAGGTTTTTAATGTATTTTTTTTACTACCACTTCTGTTAGAATCAAGATTTTATATGGCATAATTTAACCTGCTACTAAGTAGAACAACTTTTGTTGATCTCCAATACACATACTTGATTTCAGGGGAAAAAAAAGGATCATAGTCTACAAGAGTATATTTGTTCTTTTCCTTATACCACCTATAACCAGTGGCAAATGTAGGAAGATAAGAGACTGAATTATTGTACACTTTATCAATGAACTAATTATACTTCATTTCCCCCCATTTGTCCCCCCTTTTTCTTTCTGAAACTGAGCAATCAATGAGCACATAAGGGAACTCATTTACTGGAACACTGTCACACTTGTCTGTCCTGGGTCATCATTTCGTAAGCAACCCAGGATGTATGGCTGTTGAAGACTGGTGCATCTAGAGAATTTAACAAATAACAGTTCTAATGCAGAGAGCAGTCACAGAGAAATATAGCTAATCAAAACACATTACGACATGAAATTTTCACTTTTTATAAATGGAGTAAAGATGCTTTTAAATATATTTACAGTTAGAAAAAGGACTTAGGATTACTACAAGTCAAAATTATTTAGAAATTATGAAAGTGAAGTTCATTTAAATTATAACATTATGAACAGAGTCAAATGCCATATTCTGCTTAGAATTTGTCTACTCTGCTGTCAGTATTGTCACATCCCTTTAATCACAAACAGGCAAAAATCACCTTAATTTTGTTTAATGCCAAAACAGGCAATGTAAACACTGGCAACGTAATAGTTCCGTTTAAACCACCACAGCTCAGTTTTTAGATCCTAGCTGACTTGTGTTGTATCTGTGATTAGAAATTGCTTTTCCATGTCTTATTCCATAAAGAACAGTGAGACTTTTCTGCATTCATTTTGATTATAACCATACTTGTACCACATTTTTGAGATTATTCTCTAGAGACAGTTGAATCATAGTAAAATCCACTCCGTCCTCCCTTCCAAACCAAATGGCTACTTATCTCTGAAGATACAAAGAGACCTCTTGTTGGCAGTGCCGGGTAGTTTATTCACATAAAGTTAAATGAAAATACGTTTTCCACTTAGTGAACTACTGGTAATAGATTATTATTTGCTTGTGAGGAATTCTGAAATGTGTTTGCATTCATTACATTTTAAATTAGAAACACATTTCATAAAACATCTTATGATGAGATTTGCTATCATTAAACTGCTTACTTTAAACAGTTTCAGCTCTCTTGTAATCCATTACATCAGTATATTCTGCAAATAGTCACACCTAAAAATAAAATATAAAAAAATAAAGTTGAGAAGAATGTATTTTTCTTTTAAAAACTAGCGTATGTTATTCTGAAAACCTGCCCAGCCCCAAAAACATTTAAGAACCCTAAAATGCATTGTTTTACAGATACTAAGATTTGGCCAGGTAACGGCAATGAACAGACATCCTATTTAGTAAGATAAAGCAGAATACATAATAAACAGGTCAGTAGTTATCCATCTGAAATAGCCTATAATTAACATTTGATGTCTAAAAAGTTTAAACAGCAACACCAAGGAATGAGGTATGTATGTTCTCAGATATCACATCAGACTTTCATTTTATGCAACTAACTGTATTTCACAACTAGCATCTTACAAAATAGAACAGTACCATTGTGCCTGTAGAAGTACTGCATTAAAAACAGAAAAATACATTACTACAAGAAACCACCAAACATCACAATTGTCAGGGGCTACAAAAATCCATGTTTCAGCTGTTAAGACATATCATACGTTGGTAATAATTTGGGGCTGGATTCACTACTAAGAATGTCCATCCAACTTTTACATGGGCTTAAAAATATTTTTATTTTGAATGAAAAATAAAAGAATCATAGGAGTGTAAGTGGACTACCTCACTAAAAGGAGCTAAATGGACTTTTGTACTGAACCTGAACCTATAACTTAAAATCTATACATGGATTGTATATGTGTATCAAAACACTTATTGGTTGTAAACAAAAATGCAAAATCTGTATTCACAAAAATATTTTATTGGTAATTTTACACAATACCAGATGGGATTGTAGATAGCTCTGCTCTGTATCAGTATATTGCTAAGTGCATAAATGTTGACAGTTTATGCCATAAAGTAGGGTACTGAGTTTTTTTTCATATGATTTATGATATAATATATTCTAATAGGCCAAATCAAAAGTAAAGAAATTGAGTCAGGAACAAAAAATTAATAGTATTGTTATTTACTTATTCTTGTGCACCACTTGATAGTCCTGTAATTAAATAAGTGACTATATGACACTAGATAAATTTGGGGCAAGGAAACAGCACTAAGCAGAAATGAGAACTGCATTACTGTAATTTTTAAAGCTTTTCCAAATTTTTGTATTTCCAAATGTTAGTTTTTGCCAAATGCATAGTCATCTGAGGTTCCATATTTGTTATACAACATAGAATACCAGTGTACAGTGACAATGTAGTACTTTACCTGAACTGTAAGGTTAACCAATCAATGCTTAGAATGTGTTTTCTATTTTGCTTGTAAACATTACAATAAGTGTTTTAAGTGTGAAAAAATATTGGTAAAACCATCAACATAATTCCGTAACAGTAATCTAGTAAAATGTGTCAAACATTGGCAAAAATTTATACAAATGTTTCATTTAATAACATTTTTCCTATTTAACCACACCAAGTACCAGCAGGTGTTTTTAAGAAGATAATTATGAAAATTCTGTTGCAGCAATAGTTGATTAAGTTGATCTCTGACTTGCATACATATAACTATGTTTCACAATTCTCAAATAATACATATTTAGGCAGCTTGAACTATGTTATAAAAATTTAAATTCAGTACATGCCAATAGTAGAGACTTCAAGAGTTGTGTTAGAATTCACTAAACTAAAAGTGAAAATGGACTTACCGATAACACTGCATAATGAACATTCAAACCACATTTTCATGGCAACTTTACACATGAAGATTAAAAAGTTGGTCTGAAAATGCCTTGTAAGCACTTGTAGATTGGATTTAAATTATTGTTCCTACCACTGCATTTTTTCTTTTTCTTTTTTTTTTAAAACTGCATAAATTATGTTTCAGTCAACATACCAATTATGCACGGATAATCTGTCATGAAAATGTGGTAACAGGTGACAGAAGTTATGTATTTGCATGTTTTGAAGAGAAGAGACTAAAGAAACTGGAGGAAATAAACTTTAATGAGATTCCCCATTCAGCGATGATGCCTCTCCTCTGGGTGAAGACGACCTGGACATTCCCCTCTCTGTGTTGTCAGAGCTGGAGCCACTCTGACTGTGCTGGTCTGCAGAAGCAGCACTGGAAGCAGGTGGTGACTTAGTTTTCTCCTTAAAGTCTGTAATTATGACTGTTAGATCTCCAACAGTAACTTCCAAATGCTGAGCGCTACTTCGATCCACATTTTTCAATCTTGGCCTAAATAAAGCAAATAATCATATTAAAAGCACACACACCATCGTATTATCTTGTATTCCTCTCACTTTTTAGGAGCACTGGAGAACATACACGTTCTCCACACAAAATGGCTATGTGCAACATGTAATACACAAGAAAACAACGTACCACAGGTATTTATGATAGAGTATTTCCTAGTATGTTTTACATTAAAACAGCTGAACATAACACGTTACCTTCTCCTAAGATTATTTTAAAGTTGACCTTATGAATAATGTAACTGTGCAAAAATACACAAAGTGTTGGAAATACGAAGATTTTTACTTTTAAAAATTAAGTATTTTGTTATTGTGGCTATAGAAAGTCATACATTTGATCCCGAGAAGGATCCCTCTCTGCAGCAGCCTTAAGCAACAGTGCTCAAGTAGAGAATGATGTTCAATAATGAAGACGTTGGTGTCTGTCTTTTGAATTCAACAGCACAGACAGTGCAAACTTGCAGCATGTATTACTTCATTTCAAAATCTCACTAGCACTGCTAGTATACTATTTGAACAAGACTTCGTGATCACAGTATAACTCTGATGCTCCTGGCATATGCTGTGATTTAAATTATGCACGGAGCTGAGTATTACACACAGTGTTCATAGGATAAGTCTCTTTATCTAATCTTTCAACTGTTTGGTTTTTCACAACATAAAAACCAGAGAAAAATACTTTGACTTATATGTCACTGCCATCATATTTTTGCCAGTGACAACCATGAAGTACTTTCAGTTTACTATTTTTCTTTGACTCTCATGAAAAACTGTCACGAGACAGCTGAATTTATACAATTGGTTATGAACAGCATAGCTTTATGCATTTAACTGACTCCACAGCTTCCACTAGCTCAAGCTGCAATAAAATAAATTAACATGACATCCCGTTAGCAGGTGTGCCAACACCAAAGCTGTAACCTTTACCCTATCATCTGACTTCGTATGAAGTGGAATTGGTTCTCAGCCACTTCAGCTGCAACACCTCATGCCTTTCCTCTGCTAGAATAGAGACAGGCTTTGACATCTTGTTCCCCTGAGGCTGAAGTAGCGTGACTGAAGAATTTAAGAGAAAACTGAAAATCTGCTGCTCTGTAACATGGGAATGGAAAGAAAAATTCAGCATTATCAACCTGCATAAGTGCCATGCCTGGAGCTTATTAATCATATTGAGTGTGCATGCAGATTGTTATGAACATTTCCAGCAATAAAGTACAAGTTTTCAGGCAAAGAGAAAAGGATATAATTTTCCCAAAGGATACTGAAGAAATCTGCTTAAATGAATCAACCATTTGTAACTTACTGTCCTACCTAGTGACTCAGTTCTAAGAAAACACTGAACTGTTGGAAACATTTGAAAAGAAAAAAAACCAAGTAGCCTGTTTATTTCAAATAGCAATTCTTAATGCAAATCTCTGGTATACTGGAATCTCAGTCCAAGATTTTTATTTTAGTTTTTTTTTTTAAATGTTCTTCTCTTTTTCCCTACCGTGCTGTTGCATTTTTAAGGTACTACTGCAATCCAACCATCAATATTTCAATTTATAATATTTAATTACCGTAATTAAAACTCACTATGTTAACCTCAAATACTTCATAACTGAAGTAATTCAGTTGCATGAGGCAAGATTGTAAAATTGAGTATTAAAGAAAAAAAAAAGAAAAAGGAGGAACATCTCAGTGTCCTTAATCCTAACTATGACTTTCCTAACAACTGTTCTCTCTTGACTCTCAGTCTCTCCCTGCTTCTGATCCTGATGATCCTATTTCAGGCACAAGAGAAGCATCTGCTACTTCTCGGCATAACTAATCCCAAAGGATCTTCTTTGGCTGGACTACTCTGCAGTGCTTCCAGAAAAAAAAAAAAAGGAAAAAAAATTAATAGTTCCTCCCACATTTGATTAGACTACACATCTTGTGTACTTACGAGCTTTTTGGAACAGCATTCTTCCCACAGTAACTTTATGCTTAGACTGATAATCTAGGGGTTAAACTTGCTGTAAGACCAGGTGGAAGGAAGGTGCAAACAGCAAGATCAAGGCTTTTAGAACTGCTTGTCTGTACTGTAATATTTCATGTTCTCGGTTATAAGAGTCCAAGGTTTCCTTCAGCATCCAGATGTAGCATTGAGATTTTTATCACTGTGTAATATACATGCCTTATCCTGTCACATTAATTTATACCCACGTTCAGACCTTCAAAGTTTATTCCAGTTCTGCAAGGACAGCCATAACTATGTTACTTTCTCACTCTTCTACAGTCTGGTACTGGTTCTCTCTCATTATTTTGCATGAAAACTAGCCACTCTTGTCCCTTCTTTTTCCCACAGATCAGTATCATCTGTCTGCCTATCTACAGTTTTGTATGGTGTGAGAAATACATCTGTAACCCTTAAGAAAAATACCCAAGTCTTTCTATATTCAGCTGGTCTCCATCTTCTGGTCAAAATTACAAACTGCAGGTTTTCTTCACATTAATAGGTATCCCAAACCAATGAACTTCACTCTCAAATATGTAGCCTTATTGGTGAAACAGTTTGCCACAGCACTTAGAAAGCAGTAAAATCACAGAACATTTTCTTTTTTAAATTATGTTTTACCAATACCGCAGAAGTTACTAAAATTTTTACCTGGTTTTCTTATGACTGTTCTTTTTGCTTGTTGTTTCCTTTTCACTTTTTTCCTTTTCTACTTTGTCTTTTTTCTCTTTCTTTGATTGTGTAGGGGGCACGAATTGCTGAGGAACCTGTTGTGCAACCAGCTGAGAGACAGGTCGAGGTTTCCTGTGTGCACATATATATAGACACACATAATGCTTAGACTTTACAAGTCTCAAACTCTCTACACTTCAGTTAACATTAACAATCACTATAAAAAGAAATAATGCTAAAACTTATCTTGCTGCTAATACTTCATTAAAATAGCATATCAAATTTAAGCCCATTACAGCCTTTTGTTTCACTTACTTGCATTATCAACAAATGAGATTTTAAATTTTGTTTTTTTAAAGGATTTAGAGACAAGACTTGGCAATGTCTCCTCTTCTCCCAGTTGTCATATCCAGACAGAGACTTACATGGAATGAACTTCAAAAGATGAAGCTTCCAGAGAAAATACCACCCAATCCCAGCCCCCTCAAATGATGAAGAAGTCTATTTTGAGTGAACTGCAATACTGAATTATACAATCCATATCACAAAAAGGAAGAAGTTGACAATTCAGGTATCAGAGCTAAGCCACTGTTAGCTTTATAGACTAAAACTGAAGTGTTTTCAGCTCCAACAAAATCATTGAAAGCAATGACTAATCCTGTTGTGTATCATTTTTATTAAGATTTTCACTGGAAAATATATACTGCACTAATAACAGAAGGATACAGCTGCCAGAACATATGTACGTTAAAATCTGGCAATAGAAACTTCTGATCACATTCCATCAGTATACACAGCACAGGTTTCATTTCCAAGTTTGGATCCAAACTAAAAAACAAGGTGAGAAAAGGCAGAGGAAGCAAAAGAATTTCAACAGTTTATTATTTTTACATTTTATGAAATATTGCTTTGAAATGGCTTAACTTTTATTTTATTTTGTATTGGAATACAATGATTCTAGTGTGAAATGAAACATTCTACTCTTTCCAAAGTAAGTGTATTCCTTTATTTTGAGATTTTGGAATTAAGAAATTTCAACTCATGACATATAAAAAGGAAGGTTCTGTGATTCTAGTAAGACTTTGAAGATGCAAATTTCTTCTCCAAGAGAATGCTTACCCTGCCAAGCTCTTGGGTTTTTTTTTAGTTGTGTTGTGTTGGTGAGTTTTTTAAAATAGAAGAAACACAAATTATATGCACTGTGATACTCTGAAAATACAAAGCAGTTATTAAAGCTACAGAAGCTATCAGTTCCTACACATATTTATTTATTCCAACCCACAGGATCATGCTACCGGCACTTCTTGCTTAGGTGAAGTGATGAGTGAAACAACTAAAGCAGAAAATCAAGGCAGCTCCTGTTAGAAAGTTGCATTTTCAGCAATGACTGCAGTAGTTCATGTTACAGAGTGAAAGCCACGTTACAAGGATAAATAAAGTGTGGGAAAAGCAGTTAATACAAACTAGCTGAGATTTCATGAGTCTCCACAGCAAGTTCTTAGTGAATTTAAGTAGAAATAAAGACTATTCAAAATATCAGCACAATAGAGTTTTGGGGTACAAACTAGACTACTGCATACCCTCTCATGAGCTAACTAATATATAAACAAAACCTGACCATCTGTCTTGAATTGAAGATTTCTGCAGGAGATAGGAATACAGGGAGTTAATATTCCCAGTGATGGACAAGTGACAGTCCCATCATCACTACATAGTGACCTGAGAGAATAATCTGAGATGTTACTTATGGAGTAAGACAGTAATGAACTTCTTGACACAGAATTATTGTCCAGAGCTGTGGACAACACCATGATCATGGAAACCTGTTAAAATGGGGTGGGAGGCAGGGAGAAATCTTAGGAGTTTTCAATTTTGCAATAATTTCAATTTCTGAGGGCAAACTGCATAATTTCTACTAAAGTACAGCTGGGAAATTCAGCTTTGAACTAAGTCCTAGGTTTAGAACGTCTTTTTCCAGTACCATAAAACAAATGAGACTGGCAAAAAAAGATCTTTGCCACAAGGCAGAGAAGTCAGTTAAGACAAAAAAACCACAGAGGATTCCTGTTTGGGAAGATGCACTAAAAATGAATCAAGAGGTTTTGCTATGACAAGGAATTCCACTCAGTTATTTTATTCCTCCCAATTAAACATCCATCTTTTTGTTGTCAATTATTTCTACAGCCATCTATTAGTTATATCTATGTTCCAAAATATATTACCTGCTTTGTCACTGCCGTATTTTCTAAATAAGGCATTCAATGTTTTTACATTAAAAAATTGTGAAAAAAATAAATTCACATCTCTCAACACTGAGAGCGTCTTTCAAGCGTTCAATTCTTTTTCGCCAGGTACTCAGAAAGGGGTACTGAACTGCAACCAAGCCCTCTGCAAGCCATGCAGGTTTCGGGAGATAACTTTCCCAGTCATGAAGCTTTAATCTGATAGGATTGTTCATGATTTAGCAGTAGCTGAACCATGTCATTCAAGCATGAAGGAATTCATACAGAGAAGGCTTTCTCGCAGAGAAGATAAATGTAAGAAAAACTATTCCTGTAACAGAAAACTGATTTTGAAGATTTGCCAAAATATGACATTTTAAATTACTACTTTTCAAAACCAATTAAAGACTCCTTGTAATAGGCTGCGACAGATTAAATAGATACAGACAATGTTAATGCTGCCTTTTATTTCATCAATATATTTATGGTAATTTGCTTTTTGAGCATATTCAAGAGCACCTGAGCTAACTGGTGTTTAGAAAGAAGCTCCATAAACTTCTGCATTATGATTACAAATATTTTTGCCTCTACCCCTGGGAATGACTTTACAACTGAACAATCCAGAACTACAGGCAGAAACGTTCATAAATACAGCACATAGTCAGCCCCTCAAAACTTTGCATTTTTATCTATCAATTTCACTTCAGTCATTTCAAGTGGAACATTGATCAAGAGAGGTACACACTAGTACAAAAGATAAGAGCTATCAATTCTTGCCAACAGAGGTCAGCTGTATGATCTAGGCCTGTCCTGGTTTGAGCTAAATAGAAC